CAAAAAAAAAAAAAAAAAAAAAAAAAACATGTTTTATGAAAGAGTAGATCTGTGGAGAAGACTGCTTTTCTCTTTGAGGAACTTCCACTATCTCTCAGCCGTTTGACAGCTGAACCTGAGATTTTTTTTTTTTGTGCGCCCTCTAGTGGCTAGTACACTTAACTTATAAATAGCAACCTGAAAACCACGTTTATCTTATCCATGTGAAAATATCTCAATTTGGTCAATTTTTAAAAAATCACTAGTGTAATTAGGGTACCAGTTATGCTAAGCATTTAACCAGGATGACAATGTTTAATAATGGCAGAAGAATAATTGATTTCCTCACTAATGCATGTGGTAGAATTAAAAAGCAGGCCCAGTGGAACTTCTCCCGTTTGGAAACTTTAAAAAGCTCTAAGAAGAGAGATAACCAGTATCTCACTGTATATGGTAAAAATTTGAAGCATTTTGTGAAAAAGTGAAATAGTTTATCAGAAAATAATAGGATAAAGGCCAGAAGAGAAGTGTGCAAGAAAGCATAACTGATCAAAAAAGGAAAATACATACATGAAAGATATGGAATGACTGGAAATATCCAGTGATAGCATTTTCAAGCTTCTGGAACCTGAATAGCTAATTAATTAACCATGTATAAATTGTATAATTGCCCTTTATTTTTGTTTTCTATATTTTTTTAGTAGGAAAAATTTGATATATAATAACATGTATTAACCTTGAAGTAAGGTTCTCTTTGTTGTGGGCATGAATTTGCCCTACAGTAGAATAGTGCTTCATTATACTATGGAGTAGGATTATAGTTCAGGGAAGAGCAGGGGGTGTCAGGATTGAAGTTTTCAGATAGATTATAAACTGCTTAGAGACCAACTTTCATGTGTTCCTTTGTCTCTTACAACAGTTAGCACAGAGACTTGGTGTATTCTATCAGTACAGTAAGTCCTCGCTTAATGTCATTGATAGGTTCTTGGTAGCTGCAACTTTAAGCAAAATGATGTGTAACAAAACTAATTTTTTTCCTCATCAACCTTATAATAAAACTATGTTGAAGGAAACGATGTTATTTGAAGACCTGCTGTACATTGTTTCACTTAAAGTTGCAGTTGCCAGGAACCTGTCAATGACATTAAGTAAGGCTTACTGTATTTTTGAATCATTTAACTATTCATCCCTGGAAATTCCCAAACAGGAAGATAGGATACCATCTAATAAAAAAACATAGAAATTTGCTTTTAAATATTTTGAGGATCTTTAATATACATATGCAGAATACATATACAAAAAAATTTTATGTTAATGAAATATTAACATTCTGTGTCTTCCAATGGTGTAACAATAAATTATAAACCTATGATTTTGAAAATTATGATTATGAAGTCTTTATCCATGAAGAGATTCAAGAAGAAAATTAGGTTGAGCATGGTGGCTCATGCCTGTAATCCCAACCCTTTCTTTCGGAGGTCAAAGCAGGAACATTTCTTAAGGCCAGGAGTTCAAGACCAACCTGGGCAACAGGTGAAATCCCATCTTTGCAAAAAAATTAGCCATAGCCAGTGTTGTGGTGCGTGCCTATATCCTACCTACTGGAGGCTAAGGTGGAAGGATCGCTGGAGCCCAGGAGTTGAAAGTTGCAGTGAGCCATGATTACACTACTGCATTCCAATGCATTCCAGCCTAGGTGTCAGAGTGAGACCCTGTCTCAAAAAGAAAAGAAAAAAAAAAAAAGAAGAGAGAGAGAGAGAGAATTATCTTATATATTTACCATTTACCTTTGTGAAGGAAGGGACTTGAACATCTGAGTCCAGTAAACGTGAACCAGAGCATGTTCAGTCTTATGAGTGTTAGAATTTCATTATAAAAGTATCTACTTACTTGATTATATCTACAAAAGAACATGTAAAATTACCTTCGTTAGCGGTAAAATTCATTAGCATACAAATAGGAGATTTTCATTCATATAGACTGGCTTTAGTGTGACTGAGGCCAAATACAAGGGAAGTGGTGTGCTGTAGCAGAAAGCTAGAGCATAGGTTTGAGAGTAAGAAGTGCCTGGGTTTAAATTCTGGCCCTGGCCGGGCGCGGTTGCTCAAGCCTGTAATCCCAGCACTTTGGGAGGCCGAGACGGGCGGATCACGAGGTCAGGAGATCGAGACCATCCTGGCTATCACGGTGAAACCCCGTCTCTACTAAAAATACAAAAAATTAGCCGGGCGCGGTGGCGGGCGCCTGTAGTCCCAGCTACTCGGGAGGCTGAGGCAGGAGAATGGCGTGAACCCGGGAGGCGGAGCTTGCAGTGAGCTGAGATCCGGCCACTGTACTCCAGCCTGGGCGGCAGAGCGAGACTCCGTCTCAAAAAAATAAATAAATAAATAAATAAATAAATTCTGGCCCTGTTGTTTAATGTATAAGCATGTTCATCTTCCCAAGCTAAATTCATTCTCTAGAGAATGATATTATTTACCATCTCTCTTACAAGATTACTGTGAGGGTTAAATACATGTACATCACCCAGCAAAAAGTATTTTGAGGAATTACATGTGTGCTGAATATAGCTGTGTGACCTTGACCAAGTTCAATTATCTTCACATCTATACAATTTACATATCTGTAAAATGATATAAAAGTGGAACCTCTCTGAGAATTATTGTGAAAACTAAATAAGATTTAATACTCATAACACAGTGCCCGACACTTAAACATACTCAAAAAATTGACTAAGTGGCCTGTGTTGTCTTCTATAGGGGTGCCTAGAGACTCTTCCTAGCTCCTGTTTATCAGTAACCTCTGCTGTCACCACTAGACTTCTGGAGAGCCAAATGAATTTGCTGCAAATAAATACTGTGGCAATAGGAAGAAAGTGCATATGAACAGCTCAAACAGATTTGTGTATATCTGGAGGTAAAGATAATGAAACCAAGAGGGTGCTGACTTGCAGTGTGTGTTAGTCCAACCTCACACTGCTAATAAAGACATACCTGAGACGGGGTAATTTTTAAATGAAAGAGGTTTAATTGACTCATAATTCAGCAAGGCTGGGGAGGCCTCAGGAAACTTACAATCATGGCAGAAGGGGAAGCAAACACGTCCATCTTCACATTGTGGCAGCAAGAAGAAGTGCAGAGTGAAGTGGGGGAATACCCCCTTATAAAACCATCAGGTCTCTTGAGAACTCACTCAGTATCACAAGAACAGCATGAGAGTAACCACCCCCATGATTTAATTACCTTCCACTGTGTCCCTCCCATGACTTGTGGGGATTATGGGAGCTACAATTCAAGATGAGATTTGGGAGGGGATACGGCCAACACTTCTGACACCATAAGCACCTTACTGTGGTCTGAGGAGTTCACTGGACTCTATTCCAACCATCTTCTGCAAGAGCTCCCCATTGTCATACATCAGAGTGAAACCCACCCTGAGGAACTACAGGGACACAAGCAAAAAACAATGGCCAAGTGGGCAAAGAGAGCACCACAGAATAACTCAGAGAGGAAAAATCAGTCAACAGGCAGACTACAGTCAGAATCAGGAGACTCAAAATCCTATCTTTAATGCCTTCCAGCCCATTACAGAAACAGGACAGAATTCCAAAGGCCTGCCTTCCATAGCGACTGTGCTGCTTACCCATGGGCAGCAGACGTGTACAGGCTGTCTGGCCTGTGTGTGGGACACAAAGATTCTGGGTAGTGTCCCCAAGACCTCGAAAAGGAGACTGTTTAAAGATGGATATGTTGACTGGCTGCCTTCATTCTGGTTGTCTGGTGGGCCAACCAGTCTTATCTAAAAGAGTGATGAACAGATTGTAGCCCACACTCTGCAGATTTGCTCTTGTGCTTTTAACTTTCATAAGGTGATTTTAGTAGAGCGGGGAGAGTATGATGTAACTGGTGAAGCCATGGGCTTTGGCTTCACAGAAACTGAGAATTGAATCCTAGATGTGACTTGACCAAGTGACTTACTCTCTCGAAGCCTCAGTTAACTTATTTCTAAAATCGTTAGTATCTTTTTCAAGGGTATTTTCCTGACTATATGAGATAATGTATATATATAAGCCCTATGTCTGGCACAAAACAGTAGTCCAGTGAATTGTTTAAAAAGAAAAAGAACATCTCAGAGACAATAATGCATGCTTTCATAAAATGTTAAGTCCTTGAAAAGTTAGACTGCTATACACCTCAGCAAGAACATCAAACTAGGCCACTAGGACCAGTCACAAGTGTAAATTCTGGGTCCTCATCATGCGTGTAACAGTTTTATTGAGATAAATCAGAAGATTAAATGCCTGTTGATGAGTAAGTCAGTCTTAAATCCTTCTGGAATAAGAAAGAATATTATTTTAATAAAAATAAATTACATTCACTTCTGTATGTTTAGTAGTCCCTTTGTTTTACAGACTTCAAAACTTTTTCTAGTTAAGATTTGATAAACCCTACTCATTACTACTTATCTCATTAACCACCTTGAGTTGATTATGAGCCTGAAAGAGTAACTTTCTTTTTTTGAGACAGGGTCTTGCTCTGTTGCATAGTCTGGAATACAGTGGCACAGTCATGGCTCACTGCATCCTTGACCTGCCGAGCTCAATCAGTCCTCCCATCTCAGCCTCCCAAGTAGCTGTGACTACCGGCACACACCACCGTGCCAGAGTTTTTTTTTTTTTTTTTTTTTTTTTTTTTTGATAGAGACAGGGTTTTACCGTTGTCCCCAGGCTGATTTTGAACTCCTGGGCTCAAGTGATCCACCCACCTTAGCCTCCCAAAGTACTGGGATTATAGGCATTAGCCTCCATGCCCAGCCAGGAGTACCATTTTTTTCAAAATGTTTATGTCCTTCTGTGACTGCAGAGCTTTATTCCTTAGCAAATTATGATAACTCAAGCTATTGGATAAAATGGTCTCTGATGTAATTATAAGGAAACCCTCCTGTAACTGTCGGTCTGCTGGTAATCACTTAAAAGTCCTCACATCCTCTTCAGTTTATAGGGATAAGACACTCAATGTAGTATCAGCTTGAAAGAACTAGACAGGCCTTGGTCACAAGTCTCCTGCTCGCTATTGTATTAATCTGTTAACTACACAGGAAAATTTATCAAGATTAAAAACAACATGAGATGTTCTTCACTTTTTCCCAAATTAGTTTAATGACAAACCAAACTCCTAAGCACTGGTCTTCTTTTAATTCTTACTAGACCCATATTTTGTCATTTTAAAACAAAATAAGTAGTCTTATGCAGAAGAAGGAGCAATTTTCCTTACAATTTTAGTTTAGCGGTTGGCTTTTGAGAACTTAGGTTAGTGTTCTTGTTCTCAATGTAGAACTTTTATTCTAGCTACTTTCTTAAAACATTTAACAGGACCACCTTGAAAATCAGAATAGAAGGGAAAGTAGAACAGCATTCTAAAAGCCCACTTTTGTAACATGGTCATAAATATAGTACCAGATCTCCCTATTCAAGAATAAGTAGGTTCTTCTATTTCACTTGCAAAACCTCAATACTGTGCCTGAATCTAAAACATACAGACCTCTTTTTAAGAAAGGATGTTATGACATTTATTGAGTTGTTTAATATCCAACTCCTATCAAAAACCTGGCTGAAACTACTGGCATTTGAGAGTGACAAAAGGCTCTTTCCTACATCTCATCCCACTGTTGCCAGTTCCTTGCTGCTCACCGGATCAGATACTGGAAAGTTATGCACCTGGATTGTCATACCCTAATTACAAGTAGAATTGTTGTCAGTAGACTACAGTTTAACTTTGTGCTCGACACTTTAACATAAGATAATTCAGAATCATCTTTGCATGTTGTAAAACTTAGCAAAGATACCACCTATATAGAGTTGTTCACTATCCTCCTCACAAAAACCCACAGAGAACATTCCTCTCAGAACAATTTTAGGAAAACATATGTCTTTGCTGACCATCTATTGTGTTTTTCTTTCCTTCTTACTTTTTTTCATAAAAGGGTCTTGCTATATTGCACAGGCTTGACTCAAACTCAAGCAATCCTCCCACCCCAGCCTCCGTTGTAGCTGGGACTGTAGGCACTTGTGACACTATGTGTTTCTTTTTATAGACAATAGAAAGCTTTGTAAACTATTGTTTTCTTGACACCTATGAAGCTCAGAGCTAAATTTGTGCTTAATTATTTTTTTGTTACAAATATATTTCCCCTCCCTATTGACATGCCCTCTTGATTACTAGATTCTTGGGTTTTTTTATTTTAATGGCTTTATAATTCATTTGTTATTTATTTTATCTGTATTTCATTATAAACTGCCATATCTCTTTTGGAAGTGAGGTGTGATAACAGTCAAATATTTATTATATTGCTAAACAGTTTTTATATAACAACTTTTATGTAACAGTTTTTATATAACAATACTATATATATAAATAGTATTATATATAAATATTTATATATATAGTATTGTTATATATATATAACAGTTTTTATCTAACAGTTATTATAACAGTTATATAACAGTTTTTATATAGCAATACTATATATATTGTTTATGTATTATATGTTAAATAATATGAACTGTAACCATATAATAAATATAATGTTTAGAATACTATGTTTTAAGAAATTGATTCAAAAGAAGATGATGTTTCACCTTTACTTTAAATTTTTTTTAATTCTGTAGTTAGAAAATATGTGAAAGTCCATAAGCATGTATACCATCTCTCATGGCATTTTAAAAATTTTATCAGTAGGATTTTTTAATCTTTTTAATACATTAGGTAATGTAATATGATTGAGCTCATATTTTTTTTGTTGTTGGTTCTGTTTCTAATCCTAAATTTTCTTGATTAGGCTTCCCCTGAAAGGTCTACAAGAACTCAGCAAAAAGAATTTCAAACTTACATTTTGGATAGTGTGATGGACCATTTGCTTGCAGCTGATGTATTATTAGGTAATTCTGTGTTTTTATTTTATAAAAATACCTATAATCACTTTCCTCTCTAGCCCCAAGTAAAACTACTTTTTAACATCAGCTTTTCTCTTTCCTTTTTTGTCTGGCTTCTCATACTCAACATTATATTTGTGAGATTTATCTTGTTGCATGTAGCAGGAGTCCATTGTTTTCATTAATATATTGTATTTCATCATGTGATTATATCAATTTGTCATTTTACTCTTGACAGACATATGAAAGTTTTCACCTTGAGATAATTTTAACAGCTGCTATAAACATTCATGTTCATATGGACCACATATGTGTATAATACTTACACATATCTATTGAGTATATACCTATGAGTGGAATTGCTGGGTCATAGGTATATGTATGTTATCTTTTTAGTATGGCTTCCAGGACATAGAGTCAAAACACATTGAAATGTGTTTTTTCTGTATGTCTATATCTAGTTACAATAAAAATATGAAACTTAACACTTGTACAATGAAGCCAACATTTATGTATAAAACAAAGTAGAATTATAAGAGAAGGAAACATAATGGGTTAGTATACTATATATGCTACTTTTGAGTTCCTAGCAATAATACTAATCATATAACCTCTGTGCTATTAAATTACAATTATTTCCCGAAGTAAATTTGCCAGGAAATCTTTAGGATTGTCTTAACATGCAACTATGCACTCTCAAAGTCAAGTCACAGTTTTGTACTTATTCTTATCAGTTTAGAGCAGTCATACTACACAAAGACACAACACAAATAATTTTGATTAATGGGGCAATTTAGCATTAGGTGAGAATAATAAAAATCAAATTCTGTGGCATTAGGTGAGAATAATAAAAATTATTATTAGCATTAGGTGAGAATAATAAAAATCGAACCTCCAGAATTTCTGTGGAGGAAAGGCTTAAAGCAGTGGTCCCCAAACTTTTTGGCACTGGGGACCAGTTTCGTTGGAGACAGTTTTTCTACAGACCGGGGCGGGGGGTGGGATTATGGTTTTGTGATGATTCAAGTATTACATTTATCATTTGATTATCGGAAGGATTGTGCAACCCTGGATCCTTTGCATGCACGGTTCATAATAGGACTTGCCCTCCTATGAGAATCTAATGGCGCGGCTGATCTGACAGAAGGAGTTCCAGTGGTAATGCTTGCACACCCGCCTCACACCTTCTGCTGTGTGGTCCGGTCCATGTCCTGGGAGTTGGGGACCCCTGGCTTAGAGAAAGCATTCTGGTTAGGAGGAAGAGCTAGGAGGATTAGTCTGAAAGCAATATGTATATGCAAACACACTGAAAACACTCAGATAGCTTTAGAAAGAGAGAGAGCCAATGGTAATGATGGAGGGGCTAAACAAACCCCTCAACATTGATTATACTTTATTTTTCACAATTTTCCTGAAGCTCTTTTCTGTCTGTGTTACTTCACTGCTATTAGAGCTATACTCTAAAACAGTTTTGTTTTACAGTTTTACCCTTTATTACTTACACAAAATCAATTAAGAGCTAATAAACTGGCCCTTTTTCTCTCAAATGGAGAACACCTGTGACTGACAGTTTATGTTGCGGAACTGCTTGTTTATCACAGACTCTTGTTTAGGCAATAGGAGACTCCACAGGTAGTTTCAATCCATAACACTTTATCCTGCTGAAATTATTCATCCTGATTTCTGACCATTGAACGTCATTTTCTTCAAGTAGTACATAAAAGCTAGTAGTCATATTTCTACATGTTGTAGATACACTTATTTTTCCTTAGCCTTATTTTTTTGAGGATCTGATCTTGTGTTGCTAGATATCAATTTTCTTAGACATTTTTTTCCTACTGGAATTTAGGGGAAGACGCATCTCTGCCTATTACCAGTGGAGGAAGCTACCAGGTATTGGTGAACAATGTGTTTTATTTCACACAGCGTGTGGTGGACAAGCTTTGGCAAGGCATGTTCAACAAAGAATCTAAACTTCTTATAGATTTTATAATTCAACTAATTGCACAGGTAATCCATTGTCACTATCAGTTGTAGAGTACATGTTTTCCTATTGAAAACTTTGCCTATGGTGTCAAAATTGTTGAAATGAAGTGTAACTAATAAGATAATGAATGTTAACATTTAATAAAAAGCTAAGCTTATTAAAAGTGAATGGAGACAGGCCAGGCACAGTGGCTCACACCTGTAGTATCAGCACTTTAGAAGGCCAAGGCGGGCGGATCACTTGAGGTCAGAAGTCGGAGACCAGCCTGGCCAACATGGTGAGACCCTGTCTCTACCGAAAATACAAAAATTTGCCAGGCATGTTGGTGTGTGCCTGTAATTCCAGCTATTTGGGAAGCAGAGGCAGGAGAATCACTTGAACCTGGGAGGTGGAGGTTGCAGTGAGCCAAGATCACAGTACTGCACTCCAGCCTGGATGACAGAGCAAGACTCTGTCTCAAAAAAAAAAAAACTGAATAGACATACAGACTTTGAACCCCTCCCCATTACCAATTGCCTGGTGCCAGTGTGTCCCTTGTAAAGTTGCCTAGGTGTTATTCTTTGCTACCCCGATAGATTTAAATACCTTAATACGGTTTGGTAGGTTTGTACTGTATACTACATCCATGTGTAAAGGTTTACACAGCATGAAGAGTTGATATTAAAAGAATATTCTCTTACCAGTTGAATCTTTACAAAGTTCCTTGTAGTTTATATTCTCTTGAAGTTGTTATTTTTTGTGCATGTTCACAGTACTTTTAATTAAGGGTTTGGCCTGGTTTGGCACAATTGATTAGTCTTATATAATACTTAATGTAGAAAGTAGGAAATAAAGTAGGAAATACCATTAGCATATGGTACACAGATGCATAGGCTCTCTCATGTCACCTAAGTCTTTTTAAAGGGATATATTTGTATTTAAGCCAAAGAGAAAAATTCTCAAACGAGGGGATGAAATTAGAATGTCAAAAAAAATGATTTTAGTAACATCTTAATTTTTTCAGTACTTTTGAATAGTGATCATTTATCCTAACAAAATATATTTGTGAGGAGACTCCCCTAGATGTCACATCCTCGTGTTCTCAGGGAGACTGCTCTGCCCACAGCAGCGTTAGTGGCTCCCCTCCTTGGGAGCTCTTTTTTTTAATGTAGCCATCATATCATTCATTAAGTGGTATTCATGTGACTCATGGGTTCTGAAATCCATAATAGCAAGAGCTTTGTATCTTTTAACTTAGCACCTTCATACTTAGCATGGCATCTGGTATATAATAGACCTAATAAAAGTTCAGGTGTGAATGATTAACAGGTGTTTTACTTTTGTCTATTGTACTAAAAACATATCTTCCGTGTCTTTAGTCAAAGAGAAGATCACAGGGATTGTCACTGGATGCAGTGTATCACTGCCTCAATAGGACCATCTTGTACCAGTTCTCACGGGCACACAAAACTGTTCCTCAGCAAGTAGCTCTGCTTGATTCACTCAGGGTTCTCACTGTAAACAGAAACTTGATCCTAGGACCTGGGAACCATGACCAAGAATTTATTAGCTGTCTGGCCCACTGCTTGATCAATCTACATGTTGGAAGGTAAATCCTTTAGGTTCAGTTTGCCATGTTAAATTTGGCTTTGATGTTATTCCAACAAAATTCTTCATTTTTTTGATAGTAACCTTTCTTTTACCCTTATTCTGTTTTATTTAAACCTTTATGCAAAAAGGTAAAGGGCAAGTGTTGCATTTTTGCAGTGAAATACTGGGTATCTTTTTTCCTTTAACTTAGTTTTCTACACCTGTAAAATTTCCCATTATCACCATATGTCACTTATGTAAGGCAGTTTGCTTTTAAAGCAAACAAAATACATAGCATGGAAGTCTAAGAGAAGTAAAAAGTAAAGCTCAATGCAGTGTTATGTGTTAAATGAGTAAAATTAGTATTTTCCAGTTGATTGCTTTGACAGATATTTCATTAGAGTCTCCCGGGGCCAAGCCTTGAATTAGGGGGTGGTACAAAATGTGAGTAAGATAGACCCTGTGGCAGCCGCCTTGAGGGGAAACAGCTAAGCAAGACCAGTCAGCTGTATTGAGTGATCTGCTAGGAACAACCCAGTGCTTTGGAGGCACATAAGAGGGGCCCCTAACCTGAAAGAAATACCTGCTGAGCTGCAGCTTGAGACCTGGTTGGGGAGGACAAGAGAATGGAGACAACTGCTACTGGAAGAAAGAACAGTCTGTATGAATGCCCAGAGGGAAGAAAGAGTGGCACCTTAGGAGAACTGCAACTATTTCACTACAGGAGCAGAGTAGTGAGATCTAAGACTGGAGAGAGGACACAGGCATATTAGAAAAATGTTAGTTGAATGAACATTTTGTAATTGTTAGGTTAAAATGTTCACAATAATCAAAAGGCATATTAAATATTAAGGTAATAATCTTGATGCTATAGATTAGTCTAATTACATTTAGTCAAGTGGATTTATTTGATCACCTCTTAAAAATGGCATCTTCCTGGCAAACTAGAGCTCTGTTCTGTGCATCTGCTGAGTAGACATTCAGTGTCTGCTGGTAATGGAAATAGAGTGATTCTTAGTTACTGTAGTCTGCAGCTAATCATTTCCTTCATAAAGTTTAAACTGACTGGAATTTTTCAGCAACGTGGATGGATTTGGACTGGAAGCAGAAGCCCGCATGACCACATGGCACATTATGATCCCCTCTGACATTGAACCAGATGGTAGTTACAGCCAAGATATTAGTGAAGGTAATTGCCTCAACTTGGGATGTTTTTAAATTGTTGAAGTTGTTTTATCTCCAGTTTTTAAGACATAACCAACAAACTGGCTGCAGAAACTGCCAGCATTGATAGCAACTCTCCCAGTAGAGCAACCTATACATAGACAAAGAGTCCCCTCATGCCAATAAGAGTAAAGCACACAAACCAGTAATGTTGCTAAGCTCATCATTTCTTAGTAACACTGTGAGATTTGGCGGTGGTATTAATATTTACATTTGCTTAAGTTCAAATACTACCTTGGAATTAACTATAAAGAGAACTGCCCAGTGGTAATGCTAGGCATATCACATCAGAGTAGGCAAATATTGCTTGAGACAGGTTATCAATAGTGCTATTTTTTATTCTTCTTTATACTCTCTCTCTCTTTTTTTTTTTTTTTTTTTTTTTAAAAAAAAAAAAGCAGAATCTTGCTCAGTCGCCCAGACTGGAGTGCAGTGGCACAATTTCAGCTCACTACAACCTTTACCTTTCAGGTTCAAGTAATTCTCATGTCTCAGCCTCCTGAGTTACTGGGACTGCAGGCGGGTATCACCATGCCTGGCTAATTGTTTTTGTATTTTTAGTAGAGACAGAGTTTCACCGTGTTGGCCAGACTGGTCTCAACCTCCTGACCTCAAGTGATCTACCAGCCTCGACCTCCCAAAGTGCTGGGATTACAGATGTGAGCCCACTGTGCCCAGCCCCTCTCTTTTTTTTCAATCTGGTTTTCCCACTGATCCTGTAAGCATTGCATATTGAAGTCCTTGTATGGATTGATTTCTTACTTCCACATGTTTAGTGATAAAGAGAAATCAGTCTGGTAGTGTTTTTCTCCCCAGAAATACTGTGCAATAGTTTTACATATGGTTTCATTGTCAGGAAGCCCAGCACTCGTTTTAATTTCATTCCTTCATTTAAACATGAATTTATTCTCTGTTCTTTCACCAAAATGTTTTGAATCCTAAACACCAAAGATGTGGTTATTATTTTCACCCCCTGAGGAACTGGCATTGGTTCTCATAGCAAGGTCCTCACAATAGCAACATCAATATCATTTGGGAACTTAGTAGAAAAGCAGATTCTGTTGCCCTACTCTGACCTACTGAATTAGAAACCCTGGGGTGAGGGACTAGCAGAGCTTATTATCACAGGCCCTCAGGTGATTGCTGAGGGCTGACTGGTCTGGAGGAGGTGTCAGGCATACAAACAAGGAATCCAAAAGTTAAGAATGAATTTCATAGTAAAAGTCTTCTCAAAATATTTCTTTTCTTGTGCAAAATATTCAAGAATACTAACTTAGTTTTGAACTCACCTTAAACATTCAGATCTAAAAATTACTTTTAAATGGGGGATAAGTTTTTAATCTAGAAAAAGTTAGATAATTACATATATATAATTTCCAATTTTATAAATAAAAATGTAGTTCTTTTGTATGAATACAAAGATATTTTTAATGTTTTCTAAATAGGCAGCCACAGTTTGAGTTGTCTAAATAACCTTTTCACTGGGCTAGATACAACATGAGCTTTTTTTTTTTTTTAAACAATTAAATATTGTAGTCAAAATTCCTACATGTAAACATGAAGAAAAATAAAAACTAACTTTATGCCTTGTTTTGGTCATTTGCTTGCTTGTTTGTTTGTTTGTTTACTAGGGCGTCAGCTTCTCATAAAAGCTGTCAACAGAGTTTGGACTGAACTGATACATAGTAAGAAACAAGTCTTAGAGGAGCTGTTCAAAGTAACTCTGCCTGTGAATGAAAGGGGCCACGTGGACATAGCTACAGCAAGGCCACTCATTGAAGAAGCTGCCCTGAAGTGCTGGCAGAATCATTTGGGTAAGGCCTATAGAGATATTATGACCGGGAGATTTACATTTGGCTGTCATATATGGGTATACTTTAAATATGTGAATACAGCATTCCCAAAAGGATACTATAAAGTCAGTAGAAATGAAAATCAATATAACAACTATTCTAGAATGATTATACTGAGATCTTACTTTTCTTTGAGTTTTTTTTTTTCTATCTGAGGTATGTTATACATTAGGCATTTTTGCATTCAGAATGTAATACATTGCTAGCAGCTCTAGTATGGTCACTGTCTTGGCTACAGGTCAACAATCCCTTAACTATAATTTTGAAATTCAAAAAGCTCTGCTTTTTCATTAATTTGGTGCCAAAACTGACTTTATAGCAGAACCTAACTTATTTTTCTTTGTCCTACTTGGTATGGGAATATTCATACATTTTGTTGCAGTAATATTGATGTATTAAATTATAGCTTTTTACCGTAGATTCTCTGGTGCCATTGTATAATCTACAGTGTATAAGCTATATAACCTTTTAAAAATCCAAAACATTTCTAAGTTGCGAAGTATACCCAACACCAAAGATTTTAATTAGGTGATTATGAATTATTAATATAGAAACTCATAGTTAAATGTACATGTTATTACAGAGCTGTGAAGTTTCAACCAACTGTAAGTTCAGGCAATACAATAATTTGTAAGCAATCATCCTTAAACAAGATTACCAATAAATAAATTTGTGATATCTAAATGTAATGTCTGCATCTGTAATATGTGCTGCTTTTGTTAACTACAGCGTTGTAGTTTATAACCACATATGAAAGTTTTAAAAGGAGGATTCGTAAATACATGGAGAAATTATAAAATAATCTAATTTAATTTTTCATAGCCCATGAAAAGAAATGCATAAGTCGAGGAGAAGCTTTAGTGCCCACCACACAGTCCAAATTATCCCGTGTCAGCAGTGGCTTTGGTCTTTCCAAGTTAACAGGATCAAGAAGGAATCGAAAAGAAAGTGGTCTTAATAAACACAGTCTTTCCACCCAGGTACTTTTTTAGTTTCATTGATGATATTATTAGAAATTTATATTTCAAGGTTTAGTTGTAGTATTTTATATAATATACTTAACATGTACAAGCAGTTGATTGGAAATGAAACTTTCCTGTATTTTTGCTTTAGAATAAAGATAGAAGTAATCCAGACTATGGGAATTTCTCTCATTTTCTTATGATAAAAGTATTTATTAGTGCTATTTACTTATACACATCTTATAACTGGATAGAAGATGAGATTTAGAGATTAATATATGATCAGACTATGGATAATTTTCTCTCAATTTTCCCAACTTTCAGTAATGTTATTACTAATAATTATATAAATTTTAAGGCAATAGCCGAACAAGTCTTTTTAAATTTTTAGTCTTGTTGTATATACCTATGATTGATGATTTTTTAAAAGCTCATCTGCCTCCAGCATTAACTTCTTCCTCCTACTTCCTTCACCATTCCAGAATCTAAGTGGCAGCTATGAAAGGGTCTGAGAGAAATAGTATGTGTCAGCCATCTCATGCATCAGGTTAGGTTTTCTAGGAAGCAAACTCTGAGATGGAGTTTAGTGTGCATAATGTATATTAGGGGGTGCCCTTGGAATCAATACCTGTGGAAGGGAGAAGAAAGCAGGATTGGATATAGGGAAAAGTCAGGCTGCAGTGCTGGTCTAGTGACAGCCTCAGCCAAACTAAGTGGAGCTTTGAGGACAGAATACCCTCTTAGAATTGACCTCCATTAAGCTGAAATATGTGATTCTTCTCACCCCTAGATCGTTGGATGTGGGGCGCCCCATCTTCCTTCTGCAGCTAAGGCCATCCCTGAGGGTGTCGACAGCAGCCCAGAAACGTGGGCAGCAAGCCCTTCCTTGAAGGGGGTTGGGGGGTAGGAGAGCATGCAGATCTGTATCCATCACACAAGCATGGAATTCATTCCGAATTTTTTGTTTTAGTTTTCTGTGTTGGTGCTTTTGGCAGAATTTTAACCAATTATTTAGCATTAATTTCAAGGGTAATTAACTATTTTTTTCCAGAAATCCATGAAATATTAAGACTCTTTTTCCATCCATTGTTAGGAGATTTCGCAGTGGATGTTTACTCACATTGCTGTTGTTCGCGACTTAGTAGATACACAATATAAAGAATATCAGGAGGTAAGGATTTATAATCATCATAATGGTTTGTTTTACATTTTTTGTATGTAAAAGGTCTCTGTTTGTGCTGGTATCTCTCTGCCCATTTTAAGGTACTTGCTGGACTGTATTCATCATCAGATGATGGTTTTAATTATTCCTGCCATCAGATACTTTGGCTACTGATTTTAGGATGGAAATTTTTAATCTTCTGTCAACAAACTGCATTTCAAAAAGCAACTAACTGAAAATGAGCCCAGCTGAATTCTGTTGACATTCACTACAGACACATTACATGTCTTTGTTCCTAATAAAAATAAAAATGTAAGGATGAGCCTTCTTTTTCAGGCTTTTAACAAGGAGATTGTGAAAACATGCATCCAAGTCTCTGAGAAGTCTCTTAAAATTGTAAAAAATTACAAGATTAAATGAAATTATTTTTTACTACCCTACAAGTGCTTGGTGATTATGTCAGTGAAAAATAAATTCATTGAAATTCTCTTGGTAAATTCATAATTACTCAAAAGCTTATCTTAAATATTTTATTCTCAGATTAGCTATTCTGGATCTATTAAAGGTTTCTGAATGGTTAACTGCTAATATTTTATGGATATCACACTAGATCCTTAGTTTCCCCAACCAAAGAACATATAAGTACTACTGTGATAGGTAAATTTTTAATTATTTACTCAGTAATCTTTACTGACAGTTATATTTTAGAAATCTTTATTTTTAGATTTAAATTGTGTATACTTACATTCCATGAATCGTTGGGCAAGTTATTTATCATTGTCTACTGTTGAAATGTCACATATTTGTCATTTGATAGATAAGAAGAACTTGTACTGTGACATAATTTCCTTTTAAGTAAAATGGTTTGAATCTATCCCAGTGGCCAGGAGAAAATGGTTTCTCTTTGATTTTTGTATGAATGTCAAGTTTCCTCTTAGTGCTGCATGTTTATATTCTTCATCTAAAATCTTTGGAAATGTTTACCTAGTTCACCAGTAATCAAGCCTGTTGGCACTTTTTCTTCATCTGATTTCCTAGACTATCCCCCGTACATGTTGTGGTAGCTATTTTCCAGTTTGGTGTATCCTTAAATTACCATATGTATTTATTAGCGCACATAGGGCTAACCATTTCAATATATTTTCATCGTAATATTACCGTCTTTCCTGTGCCAGATAAACAGACTTCTTTGAACTCTCTGTTCCACTATATTGCACGCTCTACCCTATACATGTCTGTCATTTACTTGATGCTTTAAGAAGTCCACCTTCTACAACAAACCCGCTTACTTTAACCATAAACGAATGTAATTTTACTTTTATAGGGTTAACTGAAATGGTGTGGATTGTGTTTGTTTCCAAGTAATAACTTGATTTTCAGTGACTTGTAGACTTGTTACTGTTACTCCTGCTTTTGCTTGAAAACCGACCTGGACTCTTTCCTGTCAGCGTCAGCAGAATGCCCTGAAGTACGTGACGGAAGAGTGGTGCCAGATCGAGTGCGAGCTGTTGCGGGAGCGGGGACTGTGGGGCCCTCCCATCGGCTCCCACCTGGACAAGTGGATGCTGGAGATGACAGAAGGGCCCTGCAGGATGAGGAAAAAGATGGTGCGAAACGATATGTTTTATAACCATTACCCTTACGTGCCAGAAACTGAACAAGAGACAAATGTGGCGGTGAGTATGCAGAATTCAATGATCACACTGGCTCTTTCAAGTTTTTATTTTCCTTTGTAAGCATTTTTTCTCTATTAAGTCAGTTACCTCAAATAGCTCATTTAAAAAATTCAACAAACTCCATTGAATTGATAACTTCAGAGTGGAGGTGGAGTGAAAAGATGCAACAGTGCAAGAAGGAGACATCATGATAAAGAGGTTTATATCAGAGACTCCAGACCCAGACTGCCCAAATTTAAGACCTGACTCCACCACTTTGCTATTATGGCTGGGTTACGGGTCATTAAACCTCTCCGGGTTTTCGTTTTGTTATGCCTGAATTTGAGCAAATAATGGTTCCACCTCATAGGACTATTGGGAGGATTAAGTTCATTAAAATTAGTTAAGTGTTTAAAATAGTGTCTGGTCCAGAATAAGCACTATATATTAGAACACATGAATCTTCTAAGTAGCTCTGATCATATAAGGTGAGGCAGCTTGAATTGTTCCAATGCCTCTTGGTTTTCTCTGACGAGCACCCTAGCTCCATTTATCTTGTACTGATTGGTTTAACCTCAGTCCTGATGCTAATATAGATCTTAGCATCAACCTAAGTGTCCATCAGCAGAGTAACATAAATAAAATATGCTATGTTTACATAATGGAATAGTATTCAGCCTTAAAAAAATAAGGAAAGCCTGTCATTTGTAACAGTGTATATGAACCTGGAGAACATTATGTTACATGAAATAAGCAAGGTGCAGAAGGACAAATACTACATGATCCATCTCACTTATATGGGGCATCTAAAACAATCAAACTCAGAAGCAAAGAATAGAATGAAGGTTTCCAGAGGCTGAGAAATGAGGGGAATAGGGAGATGTTGGTCAAAGGGTACAGTTTCAGATGAACGGGAGGAATACATTTTTTTGAGATCTATTACATTCCTAGTGACTATAATTGACAATAATGTATTGTACATTTCAAAATTGCTAAGAGAGTACATTTCAAATGTTCTTGGCGCAAAAATTGTTAAGTATTTGAGGTGCTGAATATGTTAATTAGCTTGATTTAATCATTCAAACCATATATATATAACATCACTTTGTGTACCATAAACAATTATAATTTGTCAATTAACAGTAAAATTTCTAAAATAGTAATATATGTAGGTCTTAGCTCCTGCTGATAGTTATTAAAAGTTTAGAAGATAGCTCCCTAAAGTCTGCTTTTCTCAAAGGTATTCAATTCTGTCAAGAGTGCCATACTTGATGCAGCTGTGCCTTAAAGCACTATAATTTCTAATTCTGGAGCACTGTAAAAAAAGGTAATCCACCCATATTTTTGCAGCCTGTTACTAGCACTTACTTTTATAAGAGCAAAGCAACAATATGATCTTTTAATTGTTAATCTTTTTTCCTTAACAATCTATTAAGAATTTAAGGCATTAGCAGTTTGATAAAGTATTTCTTATTGAGTCAATGCTTAAATTGAATCCATTCAACAATACTAAAATATAAATATGCTTTCCCAAATATATGACCAACTCACTGTTTAGATTTAACTGAGGCATATACTTTTGAATTATTTTTACAATAACCATAATATTTTTATCTGTGCTCCTTTCCTTCCTTGTAATAATGTCATTTGTTTACAAAAGTGTATTTTAACTTCTATATCAGATAAAAACAAAGTAGTACCCTATTAAGAGTTCACACCTACAACCGTAGTATCATCAGCATTTTACCTAGGCAAAGGAATTCACCAGCCTGTGAAATCGAAACAGACACTGTCATAAATAAGTATGCACCAGATGGAACTTATTTATTTAACAAGTGGGTTACATATTGGAAAATACAAGACAGTTGAGAAATGTTGGAGATACTTTCACCTAAAAGGAAAAAGCAGTCAGGAAGGAGAGACAGTTACAGAATATAGAATTCATGCTGCATAGTTCATGCACAAATCAAGGTCAAGATTAATCTGCTATGGTGTAATTTTATGAAATAATTTTTATTTTAGTTTTAGTAGTTCACATATTTTGTAAATTTGAAATGCCATTAAATGTCCACTTGTATCTTTTGGAATATGCATCTGGCAGTGTTAAAAACAAATTTTCAAAAAGTTATAATATCTATTATCCCACTGAATTCTACCATCAAATCAAAAAAGAAGAGCTAATATTTACAGAGCACAATGAGCTAGATCAAGCTTCTCCAATCCGAGGCCCAAGGGTCACATATAGCCCAGGATGGCTTTGAATGCGACCCAACACAAATTCATACACTTTCTTAAAACATAATGAGACTTTTGCCAGGCACGGTGGCCCACACCTGTAATCCCAGCATTTTGGGAAGCCGAGGCAGGCAGATCACCTGAGGTCGGGAGTTCAAGACCATGCTGACCAACATGGAGAAACCTCATCTTTACTAAAGATAGAAAATTAGCCGGGTGTGGTGGCGCATGCCTGTAATTCCAGCTACTCGGGAGGCTGAGACAGAATCGCTTGAACCCAGGAGGCAGAGGTTGTGGTGAGCCGAGATCGCACCATTGCTCTCCAGCCTGGGCAACAAGAGCAAAACTCCATCTAAAAAAAAGAGAGAGAGAGAATTTTTTTTTAACGTCATCAGCTATTGTTAATCTTAGTGTATTTTATGTGTGACCCAAGACAAGTTTTCTTCCAATATGGCCTAGGAAGCGAAAAGATTGGACACTCCTGAGCTAGATGCTCTACGGAGCAGTTTGAATTCATTTTGTTTCAGTCTCATAACAGCCCTCTGAAGTACAGTTAATACTGTTATCCCAGTTTTACAGATGAGAAAATGAAACCTAGAGTAGTTAAGGAACCCCTTCTAGGCTGCAGCTGCGAAGTAGTGTAGTAAGGTAGGAGTATAGTTCAACAGTCCCTTAGTAGTAGAATCACTTTGAAAAAGAAAAGATTCTAATGTTTGCCCATTTTATGACATTATCCATTGATAGTGAATGTGTTCCATATTAGGTTTTATCTCTCTAGTGCTAACAAAGTACCTAATACTTAATGAATATTGAGTGAATGAACTGCCAGCACTCTTGTCTTCCCTAAGTTATAGACTTTTTTCCTTTGCTTTCTCTTTAGCATTCTATAGAATTTTCCTAAATCTAAAACTTTTCCACTAAAATGGCCTCGAATGCAATTTTATGGGCCCTGTAGTTTATACAGTTCAGGAGAGGGCTCTATAAGAAAAAGAGTAAAAATTATGAATATAAAATTAGTAGGGCTTTGTTTCCAGGGATTTGAAAGGGACTCATGCAAGTGAAGGCCACTAAAGTTTAAACTACCTTAACTTCATAGTAAATCCACCTCTGCCCTGATCTATATTAAAAAATATTGCCTACCAGAGTTAGAGATCAACCAGTTCTTTCCTTTAAACTTCCATGAATTTGTTGCCCTCCTTGCATGCATGTTTAATATAGTCAGTACTTTTTGTGATATAATAGGTTTGTGCCAACCTAAAGTTGCTTTTGAAGCCTCACCTGGTGCAAGGGCATATGATTTGATCTTTTGCGTTATTGATTAAAATAATTATTATTTCTCAGTAACATTTCCATTTTTTGTCCTGTCACTTATGGTAAAGAATACAGTGGTGATTAAAAAATTAATTTCTGTTTTAAGGTCTTTGATTTGTTAGAAATAAATCAGGTGATTTTTTTTTTTTTTTTTGCTCATTAAAGTTTTATTTCTTAAACTTTGATAATGTTACATACTGTATAAAAAATAGCTTACCTAGTATAAGTTTTGAATTTTATTTATTGATTTTAAATTGGATGTTTGTGTATAGAATATGGAACATACTCAGACTTTACAGCGTTGAAAGTTTATCAACTAAAATTATTGTAATAAAAATTGTAATAATAATTATTAATATCTTGAGAAAAATTAAGTACATGTGGAAAATTCTGTATTCTCACATAAAAATGATTTATACTTTTCACATAGTAACCTTCCTTGGGGAGTAATTTTCATAATTAAAAGAGCTGAATTATACTATAATTCTGTATTTTAAACAAATATTATAGATAGTGTAAGATGTAAGCCTGGGATGTGCTGAAAATTCAAAATCTGGTTGTTCCTCTGAATCCTAAGGGAGGAAAATAATGCATATTTTGCCATTTTAAAAAAATTGTATTTAAATATTAGCTAGGCTTTAATTATATAATTCCCTTATTTTTAAAGAAGAATAATCTCAAACACATTTACTATTCTTTGCAAAGTTCATTAGGGTGAAGACTTTGCCTATTAAGTTAGGGTTACTCAGGGGCAGGAAGCTAGTCAACTTTTAGGTTCCTTTTCTAACTAGGAGAGTTTCTTGTGGCTGCCTCAATACGTATTTTTATATAATGTGTAAATGTCACGAGACTTACAGAAACTAAGCAGCTCATTTAGAAAATTTCATTGCCAGCATTATAGAAACATTTGAAGTAAAAGGACTATAAAATTATTTTCTAGAAATTCTGACTTTGAAAAATATAGGTTTCTATGTAAACAATTATAGTAATAATTTAATGCTTTTTTAAATAAAAGGAAACCAAAATAATGCTAAAATTATTGGATAACATATTTACTATTGAGTGCTGGGCCTTTTAGTAAAATAAGAACTGGTTAATCAATCAGTGAGCAAATATGTATTTAATTGGCGATGTACCATATGGTGCCAGGAAGAATATAAGAGTATACTTAGTAGACCCTGCCTACATCCTGGCTAGGAGTATATATAGTGAATGTCACAGGTGTGACATTGGTAATTGGTCTGTTTTGTTGTATTTATTTGTTGCGTATCTATCCAACAGTCTGTCTTATATTTTTATTCATTTGTTTTAAGACAAGGTATCGCTTATATTTTTATTCATTTGTTTTAAGACAAGGTATCGCTCTGTTGCCCAGGCTGGAGTGCAGTGGCGATCTTGGCTGTCTGTAGCCTCGACCACCTGGGCTCAAGTAATCCTCTCGCCTCAGTCTCCCAAGCAGCTGGGTTTACAGGCATGTACCACTACGCCAGGCTATTTTTGGATTTTTTGGTAGAGATGGGGGGTTCGCCATGTTGCCCAGGCTGATCTTGAACTCCTGAGCTCCAGCAATCCACCCACCTCGGCCTCCCAAAGTGCTAGGATTATAGGTGTGAGCCACCACTCCTGGTCCTATCTTGTTTTTGTTTGTTCGTTTGTTTGTTTTGTTTTATGAATTTCAGAGCGAGTTGAAGAATCAGTTTTCTTCACTTTCATGTGCATATTATGAGTTCAATATTTGTTTACAATTCTTTTTTTCCTGAAGGAAATTTTATATACCTTGAAATATACAAATCTTAAGTATACCATTCAGTGATTTTTTTTTCTTTCTTTTTTTAATGTTGGATTTCCTGATCTGTTTTTGCCATTAAAATGCTTTTATTATGGTCTAGTCAGTGAGTTTTAACAAATACATACATTACACTTTTATCATCTAAATCCCTACCAAGATAAAGAACGTTGATTAGACGTTAAAGATTATTTTTCAATATAAGATATACCTTTACAAGTTTGCTTTTAAAAAGAAAGAATCACTAAAACCATGTGAAGTATTTGTAAGTATGCCTAGTGGGCCATGGTTTTGCCTTGGGAAGCAAACATTTGTGAAAACATTTTGCCTGCTCATGTTTACTATAGGGAAAGGTACTAGAAGTCATCACCAGATATAAACCATGAACAGGAAGGAAATTCGGAAGTGGTTTTTGGTTGCATTATTGTCTGTAGCTACCTGTGTGCTTACATGAAGCCACATGCTACAGCTCAACAGAATTGCCTTCTTATTAACCAGGATTTTATTCTGAAAATAAAATATAAAGCCATTACCTAATTCTTTTAAAAGTACTCTAGAAGAACTTCTGATCTGGAAGCTGATGATCCAGTCTACCCTCTGCTTTCAGCCTTTCTGGGATGGTGAAGGTAGTGAAGGAAGTAGGTAGGTCCTTATGCTTTTAAAGGAGGATTCTTAAAAGAAAGAGAGTGATGTCTGTGGTATGGAGTATTGTAAATGATAGCTTAAATCAGCCATTTGCCCCTGTTAACAACACAGATTTAGGGATAACCCCAGGGAAAAGAAGATGGAAGATATTAGCTAGCATTAGGTTCTGTTATCCTGATTTCAGGTTTGTTTTCTGTTGTTTTTTTTTTTCTTTTTTTTTTGAAACAGTATAAAGAGTTGCCTGTAAATCAAGTCAATGGCAACCTGTGCTGAAGTTTTGCCTGTGTGATTTGTAAGAGTTCGTCCTGTTCAATAGCACTGAGACATTTGGCGTATTTAAGGTTTACTTAAAACTACTTTTGATCTGGGAGAAAGTAACCACAAGATGCTAAGTGATTATTTAAGCTGCTTTGGCTATCATGTTAATTTTCTTTGAGTAACTACATCTTTCATATTTCATACAGTCCTCAAGAAAAATTTTATTTTTGTGTTCCTCTTTATGTTTTTTTTTTCTGATATGTCTATACTTAATACCCTGTTTTCAGTCTGAGATCCCAAGTAAACAGCCTGAGACACCCGATGATATTCCTCAAAAGGTAAAACACAAATTACAGTAAAAGAATGTAAACTACTTGTAGTTTTGTTTTTTGTTTTCTGGGTTTTTTTTAAGTGCATGCTAGATTAGACTAACTTAAAAGATTGGCTTTCAATTTGTTCTTCCTATAAGTTCCTTAGAGTTGAACAGTTGATTTCATTCAGGCTGAGAGACGTTGTTCTACTGTTTCTCAGCTTTTTCTAATTGTCTCTTTTTAGGATTTATATGCTGCTCACTAACAGGCTGAGAGACGTTGTTCTACTGTTTCTCAGCTTTTTCTAATTGTCTCTTTTTAGGATTTATATGCTGCTCACTAACAGGCTGAGTGTTCACTGCTCTCACTACAAAAACATGTATTGCTTCACACATAAACTAACAAATTATGAGGCATGTTAGTAATGGGCAGCCTGGTGTCTTCAACTTTTCAGTTACTCATTCAATTCTAAATACTAAAGTGTGTATTTTGAGAATGCAGCAATGTCTCCTCTTTTAAAATTTTTTTTCAGTCAGAATGAATGGAAACTAAGAGTGTGTGATCACTTTTTAAAATACAAATTTATTTTAATTAGTAGAAAAGTTAATTATCATTTTTATATTCCAGAAAGATGAAAGTACGTAATTCAATAAAAAATGTAGTTTTTTAGGACACAGAAGTACACCTCAAAATATTTAGAGAAAAATTCTTGTAGGTCAATTTTGAATCTGTACATGAAGTCGGTAATCAAGCAGATGCTGTCCCACATCTATTAATTCATTGTCTTGCCCATCACTAACAATGCTTTTATCTTTTTAAATATTAGCAATTTTGAGTTGAAGATACCTCATACAAAAGAACTTTTATGGTACAAAATCTACTACCTTCCTTTCATTTTCAAAAATAGTGCAGTGTTCTTGTTTGTTTACCCATCAGATCCTCCAAATTGTAATATTATTTTACATCATTTTAATACTTTCCTGTGTCAAGTAATATTTTCAGTCTCCATTTGCTGTATATCATTCCTCAGTTCACTGGCAACTCTGTTTCCTTGCTCTGTGCCTGAAGTTAAAAAAGGCTAATGTGGCTTCACTTAGTTATTTTTTTATCTAAAATTTAGTTCAGTATCTCATTCTACATGTCTCACCCAAAGGACACTTGTTTTCCACTTTAGTTGGAAATCACTTTAAAAAAATGTTGCTTGAAAAGGGCATTGTTGTAAATGATGCATATTGACTATTTGAGTTTCAAGAGTAGACCGATAGTAGAATTTTTTAAATTACATATTCTTGTTTATAGGAAAGTAAAGTCATATTTAGAAGGGGAAGGTTTCAAAGCATGTGTCAGATTTCATATTTTTAAAATTATTAATCCATGGTGTGGGTCTAATTCCGATCCGAGGATCCTATATACATGCCAACTTTTCCCTCTGTCTGATATTTTGTAGGATATTTGAGATCTTAGTTTCTCATCTTCTATGATTTTAAGGGGAAAACAATTTAAGTCAGTTGGAGAACCTGTTTTGAGAATAAAGGCTAATCAGGAAAAGAAATGTTCATGTATCATGTTCTAAGACATCAAATCCTTATGTTTCTAGGTAATTAATTTCTTCTTCAAAATGGACTGCTGTATGTTCTTAATATACTCATTTAGTTGAGTTAGTTATGGGTCATATTACTTTACACAATAGACAATGAGAATGAGCAAATTGGAGAGAGCAGCTTGCAGTGGCAAGCTAACCAGAGTGTCAACTGGCATAAAACTTCTTGATTCCTTTTTGGGTCAGGACTCTCAGAAGGATCTGAAGAAGGTTTTGGCCGTTCTCAGTGAAACCTGGGAATATAGGAAAGAATAGGGCAATTGAGTCTGTACCTCCAAGTATTTGAACTACACACTCACACTGATTATTCTGAGTGTGTGGACCTTTAGGCCTGACCTAATTACTTCACTTGGGGTGGAAGCAAAGTTCCAGGCTCCTCACAGACTAGACAGGCTCTATGCAGCTCGATGCTCTTCAACAGTGAGCATTCTCTTTACTGGATGGGGAGGTTTTCTCATACACCAAAGAAGACACACTGCACTAACACAGAAACGTTTTTTGGCTAGAGATTATTTCAGGAAGAACAAAACTGCTAATATTGTTGTTTTATGTATGTCTTTAAAAAACTCAATGGAATTTTAAAACAGAGAAACCTAACCCAAAAATGTGGATTTACTGTATATACATACAGTCTATGAAAAGCCCCTTTAAAAAGGTAACACACCTTGACACCATACCTTTCCTCAAGAATATTATGTTTTAATTCTTGATGATAGTTATCTTCAGTCATTTTCTTTTGTCACTTCTTAGAAACCTGCTCGATACAGAAGAGCCGTAAGTTATGACAGTAAAGAGTACTACATGCGACTGGCCTCTGGCAATCCCGCCATTGTCCAAGACACCATTGTGGAGAGTTCAGAAGGCGAAGCTGCTCAGCAAGAACCAGAGCATGGGGAAGACACTATTGCTAAAGTCAGAGGTCAGCCTGCCTTTTTGATTTTGATTAATAGTGATTTTGGAACATTCTTGTATTTGAATTCATACAAAAATTTGAGCAACTGTAAATAGTAGGCCCAACTTTTAAAATATCTATACATATTTTACCATCTCACCCTTCTTAACGATTGATTTCTTTGTCAGAACTAAAGACACTTGCTTTTGTTTATTGCCTACAAATGAATGTCACGTGCCCATTGGCTTAATGGTTTTTTAATTGTATTTCTCAGAATCCTCAATGGCACTTGATATTTAGTTTTTTTTTAATATGCATATGCATTTTTTCATGACACAGCCTCAGAAGGTCTTGAGAACATGTGCCTCAGCACTTGATATTTTAAGTTAAGGGCTTAATAACTAAATATTTATAAAATTAAAATAACTATTAAACCTGTAATTAGTGCATATTAGCCAATAGTAAGGAATAATGGTTTTTCTTCCTATGAGTTGAGAGAGATTATCCCAGATCTAAACTTTAGGAGCTGAATAGATGATGAATTGGACTACAATGTGCATAGACTTTCAGATTCTGTACTTTTACATTGGTGCCCTCAGCCTGAAATGGTTTCTTCTTTTCTACAGCTTCTCCATTATCCTTACCTTAACACATCCTACTCAGTCTTAAACTCACTGGTCATGTATAAAATCATCCTTCTCTAAAGTCTTCTCCAACTCCTCTGTTCACTGATAGTACTTTGCACATGTCTGTTATAGCAGTTTCAGTGATTTTTCACTGCTGTATGTTTCCATTTTCTAATTTATGAGTTTTTCTCAAAGACAGATTGTTTTTTCTTACTTTATAAATTTTGACACATGACTAGCACAGAATGAGGATTCAGTTCGAGTAAGTAAATCAATTCGTTGTTTTAATCTTAAGCCTCTGATTCAACACAAATTCAAAAGTCTTTGCATATTCTATACATCCCTAAAGTGTAAATTAAGATTTTAATTAAAAGTTAGTTTTAGAATTAAAAACTAAGAAATTAAAAATGAGTTTTCATGAGTTAATAAATTAAAAATTAGTTTCGGATTGTTTTAAAGCAATCTGTTTAGGACTGTGTCAACAAAAAACACTATTTAAATTGTGATCAGTTTCTCCTGTTGTTATACCTGTTCTCTCATGTGATGACTATGACTTACTAAACATTTTATAATTGTTCCAACATTTTCATAAAATCACTGAAACTTTTGGTAGTTGAACAGAGATTAAAGCCTTCTAATTTTGTTGACATTGCACCAGCACAGTTATTGAATTGGGTTCAAAGCTATTGCTGGATACAAGCTAAGGTATAATCCACAGAGTTTGATAGATTGTGTTTGGGTCATTGGCTCTTAACTTCTCTGGCCTGATTTTCCTAATCTCTAATTGAGCTAAAAGCATAAATATACAGGGTATTATGCAAGACATAGAAATGGAGGTTTTGATTCATTAAGCTAAAAATAATGCAGCTGTAAGCTTTCTCCCCTTGTGGATGTTCTCTGGAGGATTTGATCTCTGTTGCTTACTTATTACACTTGTTCGAATATGAAAACAAGGCTCTTCTCAAGGCAAAGCAAAACCTCTGATAAGTAATATTCAAAGGATAAGACTCAGGCTGACTTGTGCTTTTCCAAAGTGCTTAGAGCAACTGTAACAGGCAGGTATAGTGTTACTTTGGATGGCACAAAGAGTATTAATTTAATCAAAATATGTGATTTAGCATGTATTTTAAGGATTTCTCATACTTTGGGTCCTCACTGGTTACTATCAACTGATTTTAATTTATCCTACTCTGATTACTAAAAAGTTGTCAAAATGTAGGTAGTAAAATGTTTCCTTAATCTGCAGATTAAATTATATGTCCCTGTATTATAAAGAATTCTGTTCTTTCTGACCTGGTATTTTGATCAAATTAATTCATGTATGAAAAACCGTACTGCCACTTGTGAAATGAGGCATGAAATAGTCTTCAAGAGTCCTCCAAATAGGTGGGATGTCTTGTAATCATGTTTATTTTTTACTTTTTTTGAGACAGAGTCTTGGTGTGTCACCCAGGCTGGAGTGCAGTGGCATGATCTCAGCTCACTGCAACCTCTGCCTCCCAGGTTC